AATTATACATTCCTGGCAGTAAAGGTGCTATCCTTGCATACATCAAGCTATCCATTGCATTATCAACTGGAGGCCTTTGTGCCTGGTACAAAATTGCTGTTTCTCATTACAGCCAAAGCCTTCAAAGTTTCTTTTCCCTAACACTCTACCACCGACCTCCACCCACCTCTCCCAGTGATACCAATAAGAGCCATGAGCTTTTGGAATCATGGCCTTTTGTTCCACAGAGAACACTAGTCATCCCAGAGTTCCTCACCTGCAGAACCTTCTCTTGTCTTTATTTTACATCCATGTACCTTATTGTCAGAGGGGTTAGACTGACAACCTCCATGAGGGTTTTGGCAAAAGACTTCACTTTACAGTGATACAAACATACCCATATTCATAGAAGCACAATACCTAATAGCTAAATTTTGAAAAGGGTCTATAGGTCCATCAACAGAAGAATGGATACAGAAAATGTGGTGTTTTAACATGACAAATTACAACTCTATCTTAAGGAACGATAACTTTGAGGCATTTGTAGGAAAATGGATATACGTTGATGCCATAATGTTAAGTGAAATAAATATACAACCTTAAATATTGCACCAGTTTCTCTTATATGAGAAACCCAAGTTATAAATAAAGAACAAGATAAAATTTATATAATAGTAGAGAGCGCTTTCTCAATTGGGAAGGGATCAAGAGATGGAGAAAGGGAGAAGGGAGAGGAAAGAAAGAAAAAAGGAATGAAGATGTGTTCTGTCCATGTACCAACTCCACACAAGAACCATAAATTATGTACTACAAACATATACTAATAAATAAAATAATTTGTTTCCCCAATCTCACACGTTCTGAAGTGGAGCATTTGCAAAGGGACTAGGCAGTGAGGACACCAACCTCATCAGTGGCTCCATCCATTGGTGAGTTCATCATTGAATGGGCTCTTAGGAGGCAGACGTCACGGGGGCATTTCTTCAGGGTTTACCTCTCTGGTCTTTCCCTTCTGTGTTTCCTGTACTACTTAAGATAAGCATGTTCCTTCCACTATCCCTTGTTGCCACGCAACCTTGGAGCTAGTAAGCAATGGACTGAAACCTATGAAATTGTGGGGGAAAAAAAAAGGTTTTGCTTTAGGTTGTGTATGTAGGGGATTGGTCCCAGCAACAGAAAGATAATTAAAACAGAAATTGGCACTAAGACATGAGGTGGCTGCTATCACTATCCCTGACTATGTAATTCAGAAGCCTTTATAACTGGGATGTGAGGAGTTTCGAAAGGTTCACTGACACAGGCTAGTGAAGACTTAGAATGTCGAAAGCAGAGCAAGATGCGTAACTCTACTCAGAGCTCAGAAGACCACAATTCTTACAGAAATGTGGACAATAAAGATTGTGCTCACAAGAGCCAGGTGTGATGGTGTACACCTGTGATTCTAGCACTCAGGAGGCTGAGGCAGGAGGATTGCTGCAAGTTCAAAGCCAGCTTGAGCTACACAGTGAGTTCAAGACTAGCCTTGACTAACCAGTGAGATCCTATTAAAAAAAAAAAAAAAAAAAAGATTGTGCTCAGGGGATTTCAGGAGGAATGAGAGCTGTATTGGGAATTGGACAGCAGGCCATGCACTTTATATTCTGGCAAAAAATTCATCTACACTTTGCCCATGTCTTGAGACTTTGGGAAGACTAAATTTAAATATGGCAGACTAATTTATCTAGCAGAGGAAATTTCAAGGCAGCCAAACATTCAGGCTATGGCATGGGTACTGTTGATTTACAATGAGATCTAGGAGCAGAAAGTAGAGCAGAAATATACAGAAACACTTGCAGTTTGGCCATAAAAGAAATATCTATAAAACTGAGGTTAAAAAAAGATGTGATTCCTGAAGAGACTAGCACCATTAAAAAATAAGCCAAAGCCAGGCATGGTGGTGCATACCTATAATCCCAGCACTCAAGAGGCTGAGGCAAGAAGATTATTGTGAGTTCAAGATCAGCCTGGGCTACAAAGTGAGCTCAAGGTCAGCCTGAATTGTGTAGTGAGACCCTGTCTCAAAGAGAGAGAGAGAGAGAGAGAGAGAGAGAGAGAGAGAGAGAGAGAGAGAGAGAGAACAGAGACAGACACAGACAGACAGAGGCAGAGACAGAGAGACA